TGTCAACAAAAAACGGGTACCTGGTTCTAAAAATACCCGCAAATGCACACCCCTACCAAACATATAGTGTGCAGTAAGTTTAACCACTTGCTGCTGGGAACCCCGTTTCGAGCACCATGGGTTTATATATGCAGAGCCAGGCTGCCCGAAATCGAACAAAAGAGCTGGTCTGTGTGACAAAAGACCATTCTTGGAACAAAAGACCTGCTGCTGGGAATTGCCATCATTTTTCGAATTGCATTTTTCGAAGGTAATCTGTCACTGTTTTTAAACAGTACACCACTGTTTGGGGCATAGCGCCCCTGCGGATTAGCACCGCGGACAGAAGTGCTCCAGGGCCCCACTGACGAGCGACACGGCACCGCTGCATGGTAATCCAGTCGCGTTCGAAAAAAATGCCACTTGCATTCACTGGGGACAAAGGAAATTATGCAACACCTCACAATTCTGGGCTCTCTTTACAGGGCAGCAGGCCTGGCTGAAATACTCAGGAGTCCGTGAAGGTTGCCTGTCAGCTAAGAGCTGCCACCAAACAGTAATTCATGCGGGTGTAAACGTCCATTAAATGAAATGATGAATTTTTGAAGAAATTTGAAAAATGAAAATCTTGAAAATCTCCCGTATGTGTGCACTGCATGTTTAAAAGCACTCAGCAGCAAGTGGTTAAATGAATCCAGTATTATACAACCAGGTATGATGATTTAACGTGGGGCTAGATGCTCAAAAACCTTTCTCAAGAACAAAGAAAGTACAACCAGGTACATGTAAACTGAACAAATTCATCAGTTTCCTTTGCTAAATTCTCATCGAGAGTTTATACACGTACCAATTTCTCTCAACCGCCAATTTAAGGCAGGCCCTTATTCTGAACTGCAAATACGTATTGCTAAAAATGGCCTTCCAGGTCAACAGACCGCCTCAAAGGACTTGTCACACTGAAGGAATCGGGTCTTTACCTGGATGGGTAGCCAGCCGCACTAATCCTGATGGTTTCCAACACACCACAAGCTCTCAACTGCTCTACTGCCCTCTTGGGCTCAAACCTGCCAGGTTAGAAGTGGAATGCAGTGTGATTACAGCTATGGAGAGCATTTTGCCTCGGCTTTAAAAAAGATCCAAAGTTAAACACAGTTCAGGTCAGGTTTGTGACAAAAATTGTTGACTACAAACTAGGAAGCTACTTACCTGATTTTGAAATAAAAATGATTTTGAAATAAAAATGGAAAAATGAAATGTCTGGACTTGATGTTCCCCTTTAGTGTACATAATCAGACAGTATAATTCTACAAGACATTTTTATAAGAAAGGGATCTTGAGCACGCACAATTCAAATCTGGTATCCAATTTCTTCCATGTACATATATAATGCCATCTCCAAACAAACCAGGCATCACCAGTCTGAAAAAAATCTTGAATATTTGACGGAAGGGGTAATTTGTTACTAAAGAAACTCAATTTCTTTATTAACATTTAAAATTTACTCAACATATGATTTCTTTCAAACTGTGCCGGGACAAAGTTTTTTACGTTACAAGTTTGGCATTACTCACTCAAATGCTGCCTTGGTGTCGTTCGGCTTGATACAGCGGACATAATGAGGTATGGTCGAGTTCAACTTTTGCATCAGATACTGGAGCGACTCACGAAACTACAAATTACAAACAACTGCAGCTCAAGCAAGACCAGACTAAACTCTGAATCAAATGACGCTTTCGGGTCCTTGCATTTGTTAATTTAATTAACTCATTTATTTCATAAGAAGCCAAGTCTTTGCACTAGGGAAATCTTAGTATATTGTCAAGGGTAAAATCCATGCATTATAATGTGCATATATAAACACTTTAGTCTGTACCAGTAAGTGGGTCTCGTAGATTTGAGTTCCATCCAACTCAGCCCTGTGCATTTTTTCGCCTGCAGCAGTACTATTCCAATGAATTTGGAGGTAAAATTTTACTTCAGTTATGCATGTTATTTTTTTAGTTTTTACATAATTAACACCAACCATGCCAAATCCAACAAGATTCTGTATAGTTTACAATAAACCCCAAGTCTTGAGTTACCAAGATAGATGGATGCATTGGTGGTTGCCACAGCAATTTTAGCATTCTCACCTGGCTACCGACAGATGATTTGAAGGATTTCTGGCCTTTCACAGCTGGTCCAATGCCTGGCTTCACCACAGCTTTTCTTTGCACTTCCTGAGTTGCCTTCTTCTCCCGGAAAAGATCGGCTACAAACTCAAACTAAATACAAACAAGATGGGAAACCAAATTAATGCATTGTAAAAATCAAGCTTTAAAAGAAATGCATTCTACCGGTACTAGAGCATCTAAAACATTTCTAAATCATTAATTACTTATTTCACTTAAAAGAGACCCAAAGATTTCATGATCAACAACTACAATGACAATTCTTTACTATTTAAAATTCGACAAAAATTGAAGGGCCTGACATGTTGATCCTTGGAGAATACTTCTACAAAGCAACGAGACATTTCTCCTAGGAGAGATGCTGCTAGAATCAAAACGCCAGGCCCTGTCACTTTAATTTCTATATTTCAGGTCACTGTAGTCAGCAGTCTGCTACTTTACATTAGGCAACAATTCTCCAAAAAACTAATTGAAGTTAGTAAACTTTGTTTCCGAATACTGCTTTCTCAATGCAAATTGTTATACCGAGTTAATATGGGTATTATGTCAACTTTCAAATACCCCAGAGAACAAAGTCACATTATATCTTAGCATATAACCCATATAACAACAGATTTCATTCCATGTTGCTGTCACACAGCGCCCCCTCACGGCAGGAAGGGATAAAACTACCTGACTTCCTCTCAGTATGTTGATGTGTTCCTCATTGACGTTATCGCGATTCTTCTCTACACAGCCGTCTGACTGGTACTCCACCTTGTCGGCAAAGTGATGAACGATGAACGCAGACTGTGACATCCGCGGCTTGGAGAAATGCTTGCTTTTACTGAGGCTTTTGTACAGCTTTTGACACCAGTTCTCGTCCGACCCTTTGGGAAGCTGGGTTCAAATCAATATTTCAAGACTGAATGGGACATTTGTGATCTGAAATTGATGTTAAGCTGGCTTCCTTTGCAGAATATCTTCTTTAACCTACATCATGCCAGATGATGTATTCAGGTAGGGATTTTCTGTGCCAGTTACATGGAGGATGTCAGTTAAGCACATTGTGGCGATTTCTCCATGCAGTAGTGGTTGACATGTACATCCTCATCCCCATGTTTAAGTGATTCCTATTGCTTTTGTATACATACAGAGGCTCCCACTAGTCCATGGAGGTTGAGTGTGGGTGTGGAGCCCTAAAGGGGCTGTGCGTAACAGCTTGGGTTGTAGCTAATCTTGTTCAGTGATAGGCCGTGTTGGAATCACTTGGCTACGGCCGGAAATTACATACGAGTCTATGGCAGAGGCCATGGCCATTTCATATGAAGTCGTGTGTAAATTCCGGCCTTAGCCAAGTAATTCAGACATGGTCATATTGTCTCAAAGCCACGACGCAACAAAAAATGGCACATAAATTTTGACCAGATGACCACCAAAGGTCAGCATTTGTAAAGGACTGTGATTGTGGGACCTTGTTGTTTTAGAAGGTAGTCTTTTCAGCTAAATATAACACTGTGTCTGGGACAAGATCGTTGTGGCATAATTCAGTTGTCAAATGGTTACACCAGAAACAGAAAACAGTTTTGAGACACTGTCTACAAGCTTGCCTCATACTCAAAGTCAAAAACAGAACACCAGGAGATGTTTTACCTTTATGCAAAAAATAGTTTCAAAGTCTTTTTATATTTTCTCCTGGTATCCATTGCTACACACTGACCATACATTCCTCATCCAGCAAGTCCAGAATGCCTAATTTATTCTCAATGAGGTCTATGCAGGGTTGGTTGTCATAGAAATCGATGAAGGACCATTCAATCTGCTCTCGGACATACTCCTCCTGCTCCAACTTGAAGACATGCTGCAAGTAGACAAAGTAAAAGGATAAAATGATTGAAATCTCCACTCTGAGGTGTGAGGGTCGGACAAGTGTTTAAGAGCTTTCATCATTTGTACACAGATGTATCTTATGTACGTTATACATTTCGTACACTGTGTGAGCGGCTTTTTATGAGCAGTAGACGGCTCTCTATAGAAACTATGCTGTATGACTGAAAATGTCTGAAACAAATTTACTAAGAAGTTTTACTAATAGCCATCGAATGCTCTTGGAACTATTCACGCCTTTTCAAAAACAGATTCTCAAGGTCTATAGTGCCATGAAATTGTACTGCGAAAATTCCTTTCAAGCAATCTTGCCAGTTAAATAGACTCCATAAGAACAAAAGCATTCTGGGTTCAAATTGAAAGAGAAGCCATTGAAAGAGAAGCCATCTTGAGTAGCAAGGGCGGGGTCCATGACTACAAGCAATAGATGGGTAGCACCATTTCTGCTTACATGAATATGAATCAATTTATGGACAATGAAGCTGTAAGGAAGACTTCAAATGCAAAACTTAATTTGATTTTTTGTTATGAAGAGATTTTTCTCGGTTCCACTTCAACTATCTCAGCGAGCTTTCTTCCCGCATCTTTACCTGTGTAAACTGCTGCTGTAGTTTCTCGTTTGCATAGTTGATACAGAACTGCTCAAAGCTGTTGATGGTGAACATCTCAAACCTGCACATTGGACAAGAAAATTTGACGCCTGGAATAATCCCTTTGCAATTACTCAACGCACAATCAGCTTCTGCTACCAGCCTAGCACACGATGAGTGTGCCAACGTGACACTCAAAATTTGCTGGAGATTAAGAGGATTTCTGACAAGCCAAGTACATACGGTGTTGGCATCCTCTAGTGAGAAGGCAGTGGTGAAATGTTGCACCTTTCAGAGCAGGAAGGTAACAACAGGTGAAGGAGGAGGTCTGGCTTAATGCATAATGTTAGATTACCAAAGGAATTAACTGCCTTAACTGTGGTTCACAAGATACAAGCATTTTCAAGGTCTTGCGCGCGAGTACCAATCAATTATGACACTTTTTATGAATCATGCACTTTCTTTCTGAGAAACAATACCTGTATCTGGACTTTCCATCATTTCTGTCCTGGTTCATATTTTAGTAAAGATGTGAGGCTATGCAAACTACCAGTACACAAATTATCCACAACGGTAAAGCCAGATTTGGAGCGTGCTGAAATTAACCTCCCACAATTCTCATTCCTTCTTCCCCGCCAATCTTTTTGAAAGAGGCCATATTTATCCCAACCCCTCCAAATTCAACATGCCATTTGAAAGTACCAAGGAAAACAGAGGGAGTTGAAGCTGGAAACTTGTTTGCGGCCTGTTTTTGAGCTGGTGCAGTATCAGCTCAGAGCGTAGACATACAGATCAACCAAGTGCATGCATTGCGCATGTGTTCAAGTTTTAAACGACTTCCGTTGTTGTGGAGACATACAGATGTTGGGGAGACCAAAAACATTTTGGGGACAAGTTCTTAGTCCCGTTTCTCAGTCTCTACATTCCTAACAAAAGGAATTGTCCCCTCCACATGGTGACAACCTGGGCATGTTTTCAATTCAGCAGGCAGAAATCCATCGCGCCTACATTCAACTGTTTTCCAAGTTTTTCGCTGTTAATATTTTGGAGATCACAGAATGCATTAAAATTTGAACCAGCTGGCAAGCTTCATTTTCACCCAAGTGTTGCTGGCGATTTGGAATGCTGGTGAGCAACAGCCCTGGTAGTAGATTCCATTCAATTTCACTTTGAGCAAGAGAGCTGGTGTAAAAATGTAACACTGGTTCCCCACACACAGTGGAGGATTTTGGAGAATGTACAAAGATTTCTGGCAATCCTGCGTATTAGTGGAGACCAAGGTTTTATGCGGATTGACAGCAATGGCAATGCATACGGGGTGTGTTTAACCAGCAGACTACTTCTAGACCAAAAAGAATTGATGAAGTTGATGTCTACCGCACAGAACCATCCTGCATGGCTGGACTGACCCATACACGTACTATTCTAATCTCAAGTCAGAAGAAATTCTTCAGTTTCTCACCCGTAGATGTCCAGCACACCGATGAAGTTCTTGGCCTTAGAGGTGGCTTGGATGTTCTTGTTGATTTGAGACACAATCCAAGAGAAGAGCTCTGAGTAAATCCTCTTGGCTAGAGCGTCTCGGGAGAACACAGCCTGGCAAAAGATGGGAGAAGACAGAGATGGGTTAGGACTGGTAGTATTGATTAGGGTTCAGAAGATTTTCAAGTTCAAAGGAAACTGACTCATTCCGAGAGAATCTCTATCATTCAGGAATTACAAGAGCTGGATATTCATGTACCAAACAAAGAAACAAAGTCATGTCATTTCAGACTGTCTCAGAGGTCTACTTTATTACTTTGTTCAATGAAATCAAAACATTCTATAACATCTGTACCTTGATGATATTGCTCAAATAAGAAACTGAAGGGTTTGGGATAGAATCAGAATCAAGCTGAGATTTCTTGTAAGGGCCGAGGTAAAATTCTTAATCTGTCACGTAATACCAAAACTCTACATTCACCTATTTTTACAATATGTCATAGATAGTTTGACAGTTTGGGCACTCTGATTGGTCCAGTGCCTGTCAGGTGGGAGGTTTTACACTGACAGTCTAAACCTCTGATGACAAGCGTTAAAAATCAGTCAGCCTTCAGTTCAGCCCCTTTCAGTGCTCGGCTCCTATCTAGTTTGAAATGTACAAACATTGATTTCCTTATCTTAATAAGTCCAGAAACCCCAAGAGCCTGTTACAACTGGAATATCAGACTCTATGACGTCAGAGGGCTACCGGGTACTGTACCTGGGTTGCGGTGAGCGGTTTGGTCAGGATCTCACGGACTGTAATAATCTTGCGATTGCAGAGCCATTTCTTCATCTGTACCTCCTCGATGCCCAACAACTCACACAAGACTGGTAGACTCTCATTGTTCTTCTGAATAATGCAAACAAACGTGCCATTTCTGAATCAAAATTTCATGACAACTCAACTCTTCATTTTAAGCAATTATGTTCACACATACGAACAGATGACAGAAACATAATACTTAATTTGAAAAATTTGAAGTCTGCAAGCAAGCGCTAAGGTCTAGTCAAACATGAATAAAAACTAGACAGAAGCTGAATTGACATTATCAAGACTTCATAAAGTATCCGCCCCGAGCTGAAGTGTACCCTTACTGGTGAAAGAAAGACATCTGGTACTAAGTTTTCCAAGCGGGTTCTTGCATACAAGTGTGCACGCAAAGACCATTTATTCCAGAAAATTTATTGCTCATATTCAGCGTATCTTGCATCAAACACGCCTAAACTTGCACACCTATACAGTGAGTGCGTAATAAGCGACTGTCAATTTCATTTCAAAACACGCCCTCTTTTGTTCGTCCTCGCAGTAGATATGTCTTCATAACTTGTTATGTACACGTATCAATTGTAGTTTCTAAATGATTTGACATACAAAAATAATCATATCCTTATTTCAGGGACTTTTGGTTGCCTAAAAGATTAATTAATTAAGATTAAATCCACAGAATAATGGTTGGTGGTAGTTTTGTACTTCCCATAACTTAGCCTCTGGGAACAATTCGTTGGTTTAGACTTTTAGTAGTTGACTTGAAAGTGTAAAATCTGTATAACTGCAAATTTAAAAGGAAAATTTGATAATTTTTCTGTGAACAATGCAAATACATGTAGCTCGCTTGGCACCCTGACTCTGCTTTCAAAATGTCAATGCCTCCAGACTCCAAAAGGTCAGACACATAAATAGATCTGACTACCTTGCGTCATGGGAGTTTTCACAATCTTATACAGAACGTACATGTATGACGTTTGAAACAGCAGCAAAGTCAATTCCTGACTGGAATGACAGTTCCTGCCTAAAGTGACATTTGGGGCCCAACTGCTGGATCAAAACCTTGAGCTCTCTCAATTTTCTATAGTCTTCAAGAAAAAGATTGATCCCTAACCTCTATTTTACTGCTCTCATGATCGCCGGGCCTGATGTCAACATTCCCAAAGTGCAAGACAGCAGCAATTACCCGGAATATCTGCGTCATGTGGTCTTCCTGAAAACCTGCAGCCGAGATTCAACATCGTCAACCGATTAGTATGGCAGTAATTGCTATTTACAAATGCCTAAGACAGTTTAGCCAATTTCGTTGGTCGAGAGCCTGTCACATGGCCATTCTTAAAAGTCTGAAAAACATCAGCTGACTAATCATTAACACAGTTGGGTGTAACATGAAATTTATACTCCTATGAAATCTGGTCCTCTTGTATTGGTTGAACCTTCAATCTTTCCTTATGTTTGTGTAATAGTACCAATGAGTCAGCATTTTGAGAGTTCCAAATGCACACTACATCTGGCTCATCGCATTCTGCACCACCTTTAACAGTCAGCGCAAATCTCCAAATAAGGAGATTGTTTCAACTACATACTCATAAGAGGCACATACCATAGCATGGCTAGAAGGGCATTTAGAAAAAAACACTAAGTAAAATTGTTGGAACAAAATCACTGCAAAGTTAGGATTTTTAAAAACTTGTTAGGAATTCCTGACTCAAAGGGTATTTATGAATGGGAATAAATGTGCATACACGTTCATTTAAGACTGGCTCAGGAAAATGGATCCTGATAATGTCCCTACGTTTGGTTCCATTAATCAGCATCTACATGTATTTACTTGAAACTGAAGGTAAAATTCTGTAACGAAATTGCTGGAAATCCATCATACGATGACTTCTTTTGACTTGGACTAAAAAGGTATTTGGGTAATTCCAGAAATAAGGTGTCCATTTTTTTCGTATCCCAGTCACCTCTGACATATGATTTTGCAAGTTAGAACATATTTTCAAATTTTCAAGAG